AAGTTTAGTAATGATAGGAATTGCATATATCATATAAACACCTGACGGAGAAAATAGTTTAAGGATAGACCAAGATTTTAATATATCTGTCTTATGAAAGGGGTGGGATTAATCTACACTGGCCCAGGAACAAACCCTGACACCGACTTGCTTGAGCAAGGGCTCTGCCCACCTGTGTGAAGCGAGAAAATACAACCTCATTGGAGGCAGTTCCCCCTGTTGTATCTAGCAGTTCAGGCCACAAAAAGCTGATGTGTGCAGGTGTGTAGGGGAAAATTCAAAATGTGCTGTCAATTTTTCAATATTAATGAACAGGTAATATTTTTTCTTGTCCCTTATGCCTGTTGTGCAGCAGCAGCTAACCTGGAAGGACTAATTTATTTTGTGATTGCATGCAGATTTGCAGTCTGGGTTTTTTTTTCAGCAGAATCACCTGTATTTTTCATTATTTCGCTTTTTTGACAGGTAATTTTACTAGAAAAACTGGTCTGTGAGGAAAACTCATTTGGTTCATGTTGTAGATAACAGTAATTGCCATCTCTTATCCATAATGAGTGTGCCATATGAAGTTGATTTGTATCATTTGATATAGAAGTAATATTAGTGTAGATCTCAGTCTTACCAAGAATTTCTGTGTTCGGTCACGATCAGTTCATTGTTTATGAGGAAGTTTCTGATTTACTCAGCGCACAAAGGGGGGTCAGCGCTGACGGAGCTGAAGGGCAGGTTTACTCACTAGCTCCTTGCCTTCCTGCACATTGGGAATACACAAGCACTTACCTACAAGATGGAATAACCCACTTGATATCAATTTAACTACAGAGCACACTAAGGGTGGGACTCATCTTGCTGATGTTGTTAGGAATTAGGTGTCCAACTTAGGTGTGTAATTGGTAACGAGCTTTAGAGAATAGCTATGAAATCTTCAAATATGAATCCAGCCCTGAAAGTGCCCACAGAAGTAATTTCATTACAGCTAATGTCACATGTTATTAAAGCTCATCTTCCTCCTGGGTAACTTTAGATCTATAGCAAAATAGGAGTCTTGTCAGTTTGACTTCGTCTATATTATGTGGAAGAAGGCTCTATTCCTAGACTGTTCAGCCCATTGAATTGCACTCCAGAACTGTCTGTATCTGCCCATGAGCAAAGCTCACCCTGACTAGTTCCTTACTTTGGTGTATCTGTCTGTTCGCCGAGTTTAGACTGGATCAGTCTGATGCAGGCATGCCATTACATCTCCTTCGTTACATGAAAAAAGACAAGTATTGAAGAAATATTACTGCAGAAATGAGACTCTGCTTACAACTTATATTTTCGTAATGATACAATAAACCACTGGTGCTGGACAATAACTTAAGTATTTTCTCCAATATGAAAATATGTAACTAAAAACCTGTGGCAAATATGAATGAGTTCTATAAAATACAGTTGTTTTGGTACTTGTTAAGGAATTAGAACAGTAAAGTCATATGGAAGAAGTCACAGAGTACTAAATTTACTTTGTTACTATATCAACATACCAGCAGTCGGTCAATTTTAAATTTAAAACAGGTTAAGATTTAGAAAAGAAGCATTTTAGAATTTGACCTGGTGTTTGGAATATTTATTTTATCATATAATAGTTTCTTGATGTTCCAAATTTTTCCTTGGTTGTAGCTCAGTTTTCATTATGTAGAAAGATAATTTTAAAAATTAATGTCTGTATTAAGAACTGATTTGCCATTAAAAACAAAACAAATGGGAAAATAGGATCTAAATTGTCTGTCCTTTATTTATCTCTGCCAGCCCAGGCTATTTAGCTTTTCTAAACTGTTCAAACAAACTCTTATTCACTGCTGTAATATGAATTATTTTAGATGCAAAATACTATTAAATAAGTCTTAACACTATAAAATATATGTGTATATGCACAGAAATCTCTTTCCTACATAGATTCTTTAAGTTTCTACTTCTTAGATAGATAAATAAATCTTTTCAATGTTTTTACTAGTTAATGCTGTGGCAGAAAGGACTTCTTTTAACGTAGTTGTTACATGGAGTTTTGCCGTCCTTAACAATGGCAAGTACAATCTTACTTTGTTTATGCTGGAGTACATGCAAGAAGGTTCTGCTTCCTTATCATGAGTGATAGATGTTCACTTTTTATTTTTCTTCCTTTTTTTTTCTTTTTTTAGCCCCCAGATAATGGGCCTCCACCATTACCAACATCCTCCCTTCCCGAAGGCTATTACGAAGAAGCAGTGCCACTTAGTCCTGGAAAGGCTCCCGAGTACATCACTTCCAGTGAGTAATATATATCCAGACCAGTTTCTGAGCAATTGGTGATTCCAGTGTCCTTCAGCTTTGTTAATATTTGACACCTACATCTTTATTAGTGGTGATGTGTTGTAAGCGTGGCTTCAACTCTGTACTTAAAACACATGCATAGGAGTCACCTGAGAATATTAATTATTTTCTTGTACACTACACAAACTGAGGTTATCTTAATGTAGCTAAGCAATTCAAGGTAAGAAAGAGTATCATATGCTGTAAAGCAAATGAAGGAACATAGAGTCTTAGCAGAGATCACTCCTTTCTTCATTTCCTCCCTTGAAATGCTGCAGGGTGGTCCTGCTACGCCTTGTAATCCAGTGAACTGCTGATTTGTGTTTTTACATTAAACAAGAGTCATGCTCAGGCAGGAAAACATTAATAGAACAAATATTAATAGCACTGCTGAAGGATCACCTAGGAAAAAAAAGAAAAAATATGAAACTGATTTCTTATTGTACTTAACCATCTAAATTCATAAAAATATTTCATCTATCAGCCTTAAAAGTTTATTAATAATTTCATAATGTCGGTATATATATATCTCCAGACATTTAAATCTCTGTTAGTGTAACTTACCATCTCACTTGCTGTGATTTTGCTGAATTTGCTTACGTCCTGAACTCCTTATAATCTCTTTTAATTTGTGTTAAGTGTTCCGCTCTTCAGTGGAAAATAAAGTTGCTTTTAAATTCAATATGCCATTAGTAATACATCTCCACTCAAGCAAAACTTCCATTAAATCTAGCGTGTGTGGTAATTAAAATGAGCCACTAAAGCAGTGTACTAACCAAAGATGTAACCTTAGAGGTTCAGACAGTTTGAGGTGGAGAAGGCCATAATAAAGAAGTGCTAAAAGTATAAGAAGTGCAAGAATAAGCTGTTAAACAACTGCTGGGATAGATGTCATTATCTATAACACATAGATGTTATTATCTATAACACATTATCAAGTGTTACTATGGAATGTTTTTTGTAATGTCATTAATAGCAAGGAGGCTTACATACCATGTGTCCTGCCTATAAAGAAAAACAGCAGCAGAAGAAAATTGCAGAATATAGATCATGAAATATCTGTAACTTCCCCAAGGCCCTGTAATCTCTTTGTAAATAGACACCTACATGTTGTTGAAAACAAGACTGTATATGCCTCGTCTGGTAACTCTCTTTATATAAAAAGCTACTGGTCTGTACAATATGCCTTAATTATTACAGACTAATCTTTGGAATGCACTATTACAACTAATGTGAAAGTCCACTGCAATTTTCACTCCCTAACAGTGCAAAATTTTTATGAAGACAAATGTGAAAAGCCAGTGTCAAAAGAACCTGGAACAATCAGAAAATGCAGAAGATATTAAAAAATTATCTGAGGAACTTTACTTTTATGCCCACAAATAAGTATGGATGGTGGCAGAGAGGATTCATTGATAATGGCAAATTAGTTTTGTAGTTGAGGGGGCTGCTAGAGCTGATTGAATTGTTGAAAATTAAAGTCCTGAACAAAGATTGTTTAAGAAGGAATCTTGCGGTTACATCGCTGAACTTAGAGCAGGATTAAACTGTTCAGGCTAACATAATGACTCATTTTTTGCAGAATGCCTTTAACTCCAGCAGAATCCATAGTTCAAAGAACAGCATCGTCTATTCACCATTAATTCTATTAGTGCAGGGTGCTGTATTTGAGAATTGTATGAAATGCTGTGATAGGTAAATAATGCCCCATGATTTACTTAGGGCAAGATGAAGATGTTTCTCTGTAAAAGAAGTACAAAAGATGAAGGTATCTGCTAAGTAATATTTTGAAGTTAATAAAAAACTACCTAAAATTCTAACTATTTATTCCTAGCTCATTCTTTTCAATGAAAATTCCCAAGGTATCAATATGGGTCTTCTATAAAATTTCAGAATGGAACTTATTAATTTAACTTAATGTATTGATATTACTAAGCCCTGAAATTGTAATTTTTTCATGGCTGACTTTCAAAAGCCTTAACTTGAGATTTTCAGTTATTACTGCTAAATGCTATAACTTGACACTTTTACACTTTTCTTAAAGATTATGACTCAGATGCTATGAGCAGCTCTTATGAATCCTATGATGAAGAGGAGGAGGATGGAAAGGGGAAGAAAATGAGACATCAGTGGCCTTCCGAGGAGGCCTCTATGGATCTGGTGAAGGATGCCAAAATCTGTGCCTTCCTCCTTAGAAAGAAACGATTTGGGCAATGGACCAAACTACTGTGTGTTATCAAAGAAAACAAACTACTGGTAATTTTTACTTTTCTCTAGCTATTTTTTCTTTATACCTTTTAGATGATCTCTTTATTTTTACAGGAGTCTGGTTTTTGGAATATTTTCTGCAAACAGTGGCCAAGTCTACAGTAACCTTACGAAAGAGTTTGGTCATGATTTACCCAAGAAGCAGAGAAGCATTGAAATTATAAGTGTATCATTTACCCACTTACAACTTTGATTTTTATTGCACTCAAACCCAGGCAGTTCCCTGATATTGGAAAGAAAGTCTGGCCTATTAGCTTCTAACATATTTCATTTGGAAAAAAAAATTGCTGAAACTGTAAATCCAATCTTTCATTCCCTGCGGACCGAAAATCTTATAGGGAGCCTTGTGTATGAACTGTTGGATCAGACCGCTGGAGAGAAAAGTCCCTTGTTAGACTGAGAATTCACTTGGCAGCATATGCCGTGGTAATGTATACACTTTAAACTAAACCTTTGCCATCTGTTCTGTGGTAATTACAGATGCAGTATTCACATGATGCACAGCTGCATTACAGAAAGGAAAGTGGATGTATTTGTTTCTTAAGTGTATCTGTTATGTTTCTTTCTGATTGGAGGCACCAGTAAAAGATTCCATAAGTTAGTAAATTATCTGCTCATAGATGTCTTTTTGTTTTCTGAAAGGAGAGCTTAATTGAGGGAAACACTCATTTCTGTGTCATTATTTGCTACAGTAATAAATAAGTTGGGGTCTGAGGCACTCCCTGTCTTCCTGTCTGGTGCTTCCAACAGTTGTAACTAATTATGTAACTACTAATTACTGCAGTATCCCAAATGTTAAAAGCTGATTAACAGGTGATAAAACATTTTGTAGAACTTCATTACTCTACACTCTTACAGCGTATCTTAAATGTGTTAATTTTCAAGTACATTTATGCCTGTGGCAGTACAGGAAATAACAGGATATGAAACAGAATTGTCTGGGTAAGAGGTTTCTGAAAATACAGTTGGAATTCATTTGACAGTTTTCAATGGTTACTGAGGATTTAATTTTTTTATCCTACTCTATGTAAGTGTCAAAAAAGCCCCTGATTCCATGTCAGTCTGTATTATATTGTTATAATTCCATTATGCTTAGTCCACATTTTTATCACCGTATACCAGGATCATGTCAGATGTCAGGACCATCTGATAACAGCTTGAAGAGAAAAAAGGAAGAGGGAGAAAAAATAAATTTTCTCTGAAGCCACACAATATTTCTTCTACAATAATGTTTGTTGTTTTTTATAGAAATATATTATTTTTTACTGTTTTCATTTTCTTTAGCCACATGTGTGGTCAGAAAACCTTTTTTTTCCCTTGCAGGGATTGTCTTTCAGTAATTCTGTAATGGGAATTAAGAAAATAAAAATCACAATGGAAGTCTAACGACCAAGTTACACAAGATTGGTTTATTGTTCGAAGGAGGACTTAGACATTTAACTTACGAGATATGCAAGTAAAACAAATATATGTTCTTACGGATTAGTAATTGCTTGTGTTACAAAGGCAGCTGTCATCATAAAACCAAAATATTTTAATCAGAATTAGACATTAGCAACAACTTGTAGCAGGGAATCGTTTTTCACTTAGTCCTTCAATATATAAATTCTTAAGTTTTAGTAACATATGATTATAAGTAGAATATTTAAATTAATATAAAGGGAATTATATGCTGTTTATTTATTCTTAAAGTGACTAATGTATGTTTTCAAGATTGCATAGCTTGAAAACTTAATATATTTTTAATGTTACAAACTTAAAATCTGTGACCAAGTCAGAGAAACTTTGAGTTAATTGGCTTTGGAGAGGGAAGGAGGATTATGAATGATTTGCAGAGGTTTACAGTGGCTGTATTTTCTCAGCATAAGTTGTAGTGTTTATAACATACTTTTAACAGCTACTGTCTTCTTGACAGTTGCATCATGACATGAATACTGCCACAGACATGCATAAGTTCATGTGCTTTTCTCTGTTTACATTTATATTCAATTATTCTATGTATGCATCTACTAATTAGTCTTATTTATTATCAGACACCTTTTTAGCCTTCATGTTTGTTTGTATGTGTAAAAGCCCAATTTAAATAAGTATATGAAGTAACTGGACAATCATACACAATTAAGTGTTGTTCTCTAGACTGACATTCTGTGACTATACTGCTGTGTTAGAAGACAGGAATGGGGACTAAAGGTCTATAGGACAAGTGATGTAACGTGAAAGCCTTACTCTTTAGATCACCAGTTTAAAGACAGAGCAGGTCATCAGTGATTCAGCATGAAATGGCTGTTTACTTCCAGCACTTACTACTGAGGGAAAAAACATCAGGTAAGCCATAGAATCATAGAATCATTTAGGGTGGAAAAGAGCTTTAAGATTATCAAGTCCAACTGTTCATCTACCACTGCCAAGGCCACCACTAAACCATGTCCCCAAGCACCTCATCCACACATATTTTAAATACCTCCAGGGATGGTGACTCAACCACCTCCCTGTGCAGCCTGTTCCAGTGCCTGACCACCCTTTCAGTGAAGAAATTTTTCCTAAGATCCAATCTCATATAGTTTTTATCCAGGAGCTTACAGAATAAACTAACATGGGCAGTGACTGATTAAACTCCTCTCCTATGATGAAAGGCTGAGAGAATTGGGCTTGTTCAGCCTGGAGAAGAGGAGACTCCAAGGAGACCTCATTGCAGCTTTCCAGTATCTGAAGGGGGCCTACAAGGGTGCTGGGAGAGGACTTTTTACAAGAGCCTGTAGTGATAGGACAAGGGGTAATGGGGTTAAATTGAAATCAGGGAGGTTTAGATTAGATATCAGGAAGAAATTCTTCACAGAGGGGGGGGTGAGGCACTGGAACAGGTTGCCCAGAGATGTTGTGGATGCCCCATCCCTGGATGTCTTCAAGGCCAGGCTGGATGAGGCTTTGAGCAACTTGGTCTAGTGCAAGGTGTCCCTGCCCATGGCAGGGGGGTTGGAACTAGATGATCTTTAAGGTCCCTTCCAACCCTAACCATTCTATGATTCTATGAAACTGAATTAGCCAAAAAAGTCACGGACCTGTGACCTTGCCCCTTTCCATGCTGTCACGATATTTTTACTTATCTCAAGAAAAATAACAGAGGAGGAGGGCATGTGCCAGCATCTTTGTAACTGCAGCCTGAGGGCACTGGTGTAGGTTTGCCTTGATACGCTGGGCTATTGCTGCAGGGCAGGGGCAAGCATCTAGTCGCTAATGGTACAAGTTTATTCTGCTGCTACATGTGAACAGGTACCCTAAATCACCCTCTTCTTACCTGATCAAGGTCATGGTTGAGTCATAAGGATAACGCAGAGAAGCTTAATGCTCTCCATATGTTGTACCTGTCCTGCAATAAAAGATGTCCATTACTGTCAGTCTGGAAGTAATTTTGCTTTACAGAGGGGGATGAGGAGGAGAAATGCAATGCTGGCGTTGGATGAACTCTGTGGTGTGTGGTAAAGCGGTGCGTGGAAAATATTAAAAATTTAAAAATCGCATTTCTGTGTAATAACAGCTTTCCCCCAAGGTTCAGAAAGGTGACATGTAACCTTTGAACTTTCCTTGCATTTATTTAGTGTTACAAAAGTTCCAAGGACCAGCAGCCCCAGATGGAGCTGCTCCTGAATGACTGCAGTATCACGTACATTCCCAAAGACAGCAAAAAGAAGAAGCATGAGCTGAAAATCTCACACCAAGGAGCAGATGCCCTGGTTCTGGCAGTACAGAGCAAAGAGCAGGCGGAACAGTGGCTAAAGGTAAGGGGGAATTTCTGACCAGGGGCTCTTCCACCCTCAGAGGGCTTCCATTGCCTGTTCAGTTGCTGTTAAAAACTGTGATACAGACAGTAATATTCAGGTAAATCCACTTAAAACCCATCTAATTTGGGGACTGCAGAAATACAGACTTAATGTTCAGGCCTTGAAGCAACTCCCTGGGCAGCCAGCAGCTCAGTATTACTCAGCTCCTGCTGCTGCTGCATATGGTTTTCACTGCTAATTGCATAATAATCCAGCATAAAGAGAGGAGGTGGCAAATACCCTTGCATTTTCATCTCCAGCTCATTTTCCAGAAAGCTTTTGGTAGTTTGGACACACTGGTAGGGAGCTGAAGGTTCATAGTCCCTAAGGTGGAAGGGGCTGGCACCCAGGTTGCTTTTTGGAGTGGTATATATGCATAAATGCCATAAGGCTACCCTGCAAAATTGGGCAAGCCAACATCACAGTTACCTTTTAAAAAAGAAGGATCTCTGAGGAGATACCTGTTTGAATTGCTCCTTTAGCTTCATGAAGTCAGTTCAGGCTTGTTAATCCTGGTTTAGCAGGACATCATCCATTATGGTTTGTTCTAGGAATGCAGACTTCTGAGAAATGGGATTTTGTCATCTTCCACTCCTTTCTGTTCAGAGTCTGCAAATGTGGAAAGTCCCAGTGGAAGGGCTGCAGTTCTAAATCCTAACCAGATTACTAGTATTTGTGTTGGACTTTGCCAGTCTCAAATGTGGAGGTCACTGAAGTAGTGTGGGAAACTATCACTGCAGTTTCAGTAGCTTGTTTTAAGAACTTGAAATCCAGCCTCTTAAATGCATATAAATGTCTGAAGCCGTAAGACTCATCAGGCATTCTCTATGCTGTGCTGTGGTCTAACCTTATATGGTACTTATTTTTCTAAGAATAAATTGTATTTTTCCAAATACAATCAAATTAAACACATAGGAATTTCCTGATGGCAGACAGTTTTTCTGCAGAAGTGGGAGACATAAAATGCAGCTTAAAAGGTATGAGTTCTGATGTGGGCTAATTTATTAAATGGAAAATTAATTTGTAATTTCCTGTTTTGCAGTATTTGAAAATACCTTTCAGGGGTTTGTGGTTTGTGTGTGTGTTTGGTTTTCACTCTGAGTTTGTATCTTAGCTTGGAAAATGCTCTCTCTATTGTCTTTATAATAGAAACTAATCACAGCCATGTGTTTGTTAGGCTACTTCTAACATCAGTATCTTGTTTCAGGTTTTAAAATCTAGCACCATCCAAGAGTCTCACTAACTCACCTAGAGATTCAAAAACACTGGTTGGACTGAAAAGAAATTCATAAGTCTCATTCTTTTCCAAGGGAATTCCGCTGTAATTAGATCATAGTAGCTGCACCATTATTTCCTGTGTTGTTCTAAACTTGGGTTTAGTAATGCTGAATTCATTAGCGTTTATCAGACTTTCTGTCATAAAAACTTTCTTCTTTTTTTCTTTTTTTTTTAAATTGCACATAAAGCATTCCCCACACAGGCAGAAAAAAAAAGCATCCCTGCTACTTTAAAAAAAAAAAAATCTGTGCAGTCGCATGTTAACAAAGTTGTATGTGCCGCGGGTGAATGGCTGGACAGTATGTTATCTGCAGAGCATTTGGAGACAGTCTGACAGCACGTTATTTAGTTCCTTCAGGATGCAAAGCTCTCTATTAATAACAACTCTTTCAAGTACGTGGCAACGCTACTGTACGCTCAGCTACTAAGTCCTTGGCACTGCTGCAGCACTGTTCTCTGCAGTACAATTGCAGAGCTCTTGCCTATCCAAGAGCTAACCGAAAATAGTGTGTGCAGCTCTTGCAACAGCTCCAATGTTTTCAAGAAGTACAGCTTTGTGAGAAAAAAAAGCATTGGTTTGGGTTTTTTAATTTTTAAAAATGTAGCTGAATTTAAGGTTTTTTTATTACTATGAAAATAATTATTTGCTCATTCAAGCCTTACTTAAAATGAGCTTCTGAAAATCATGTGTGGCTTTGTGTGGGAAGTTCCTATACTGAGAATGACATCACTGCTTTGTCTTGGGAAAACTGGTCTGAGCTTTCCCTGTCTGTCACCCAGAGGGCCAGGGTCATTGCCAGCACTATGTCACCTACGTGTGATTTCTCTAGTTAATGAAATTGCAGATTCAGAGACTGACAACGACAAAGGTCTCCACAACCAGATTTTTAAATTATAAGATGCCTTCTCTGTTAAAGATACTGTACCAATACCTGCCACTGGAGCCAGGTTATCATTCTGGAACAATAGATTCTCATGAATTCATATGTAAGTGTCAAATTAAAGCTTTACTCTTGAGCCTGAAAAGCACAAAATGGCTTTGGAGGCTAGATTTTCCCATGAAAGCTAAACCAGATGATTTGTTTGTAAATCAGGTGCAATCAGTATAAAATACATTTACTTAAGCAAATAACTTTGAAGTATCCATTGGAAGACAAGTGCAAAATAAATGCAGAATATTTTATACTTTTTTTGTAAAGATGACACCGAAAAACCCCAGCTGATAAACGTAGTGCAAATTGAAGTCTAGACTGGAAACCACAAAGGGAGTTTCAGTTTTACCAGCTAACAAATGTTTGATGAAAAAAAGATAGCTGATGTCACCATAGAGCCTGTCGAGATTTCAGAGGAAGGAGTGTAACTAGTATAAATTCAGGCTAGAGCTGAGATCATAGCAGGAATATGGTGGGCAACGTAAAGTGGTGGAATTTTCCAGACTTGAATCCTAAAATATTCCCACAAAAATGTATGTGAAAAAATGTGTGCAGTTACACACTCTGACCCAAAAATGAGCTTTTTCCATGCGCGCTTGAGTATATGTGCATCTATGTGTGCCTTTGTGCATTTGTGGTCAAGTAAGGTCTTAAATCTGCCTGTTCGTCTCAGCAACATCCAACAGACTGGTGGAACTACACTTATTTGTCAGCATCCTTGGGAAATGCTGTATTAAAAATAAAAGGACTACTAAGAACATGACATTACAAGAAGATGCTTGTTTAGTGGCTTCATTCATACAGATGAATGTGTTCTGTGTGCAGGACCTGCAAACTAGGCCACAGAAAACTGCTCTTAATATTAAAAATACATGGATGCCAAAGAAATTAAGTTCTGATGTAGCTTCTTGTAGAAGCCCAGTAGAAGGAAATGGTCATGGTGTCTGGCCCTAAGGTCTTCTCCTCTTCTTAGTATTGCCTCCTGCAAAAATGTATTTCTGATTCATCATGCATGAGAGTTAATTTATCATTTTGGAGTACTGGCTTTGATACTCATTTTTCCCCAGCGTTATGCACCCTTTCTTAACTTTTCTTCATTTTACGGTGTGCAGCCATTTTGCAGCAATCTCTTCAACTGAGGGTCTGTAATTGAGCCTGTAATATTTCAAGCACAAGCAGATGTACCTGCATCTATTGTTTTGACAATGCTCAGTCAGCTCTGAACTTGCTGTAGTAAGAGGGGGTTTTTGCCTGAAGAGAGAAGAAAATCAAGGTTGTGACTCTATCCAGTCATCCAAAGACCCTGCATCACTCCTTGTAGGGCTGTTAATCCAGTTGACCTACCCAGTTTCCATGTCTGATAATTGCACATTGTCTCTCATATGAGAACTTTTTTTTTTTTTTTAACTGCCCTGTACTTAGGGAGGGGAATCAAGTAACTTCAGGGCTTCTGTCTTAATGTGGAGTGAGTTTTACTGAAGAATAAACTACTGACAGAGCTCTTTTACCAGTTTAAATCGGCACAAAACTGAGCTTGTAACTGTAAACATTGTGTAGCTGGTTTTACTTTCTTTGGGAATATCCAGCTAGAGATCTCAAAACACTTCAAACGTTACTTTCTTGGCTTAAGTAATGTTCCCCAAAGAGGTTATTTTGTAGTTGAGTCAGGTCAAGTGCTGAATGATCATGCCTTAAAACTGACTGGAAAAAGTGCATTTGGGGCTGCATACTCAGAATAAGCCATTTCCATATAGCGATTGTGAGTTTATATGTAGCTTCAGGAACATACTGTGTTCCAAGACAGTCAGGCTGGGTTCTTTCTGCACTGCACATCATCACCAGCACTGAAGGCTTTGCAAGTTAAATCAAACCTACCAGGACTTACACCCCTATTGTCTCAAAGAGAGGGGTTTAGATACCTTGGTTCAAACCACTGCAAGGTCAGTATTGTTTGCATAAGAGCTATTCAGGTCTAGAGGCAGGCTGGACTGAGCTGCATGGGAGAGCCTTGTCCAGCCCATAGGACTGCTTGCTTTGACAGAGCCGGGGGACCCCATCCTGGCTGTGAACCAGAGTGTGTGTGTGTAACCGGCACCACGGAGACCAATGCATTATTTCAGAAAAGCAAATGCATGTGTAAAGTTTCTTAAAAAACACCAGCGAATATAGAACCAGAAATTATTTGCTTGTTTTCTCAGGAATAAGTTCTCTTCAAGTTCCTGGCTAAAATCACAAATACAAGCTGTAGCAGATCTGAGAGCAGAATCCAGGAGCGCTGAGACTTGGTCCCCTGCTTTCACCACTAGATAGTATTCCTCCTCTCTCCTACCCACACCTTTGTATGGAAAATCATTTAACTCATACCTAGCTCAAATTTACAGCCTAAAGTGTGGTCTGCATCTCTGTACCACCTGCAGCCACCCTCCCCAGCCACCCAGTGCCTCCTTCCCTGGGCTCTGCCTGATCCGGTGGCCATATATGGCAGTAGACTTCATGGCAGTAATGCAGGAGAAAGGATACAGGGGTTGTCTTGGTTGAATATGCCAGAAAAGTAATTTTTAAGGGGATATACAGTCACTAAAGATAGGCTTGGTGGCTGCTAGTCGGCTAGAATTTCATCCCCTGATTGCTCAGACAAATGGCTATAAGGCAAAATGATGAGTCCTTTCAGGCTAGGGTATGCATGAGATGACGTTTTCCAGTATAGAAGATGAAGGGTGGTTCTTTTTGAGATTTAAAGCATAGGCTATGATGTGAGTAATTTCAGGTTTTCCTCTAATTAACTAGGTAAACTCCTTGGGACATTTCTCTCTGCAAAATGCTGAGAGATTTAGTGTTCTTTTAAGGAGGAGGAGATTGATGCTAATGTATGTGATGTGTAAGGTTCTAAAAGGGAGAAAATGAGAATTTAGTCATGCCAAAATGATGAAAAGTCACAGAACGTCAGTATTCCTCCAGCACTGAGAAAAGGAGTGTTTCAGGAATGAGAAATACTGTTACATTTGGAGCCAAACCCTCTTCTCTTTGCTGTGTTGTGCATAGCAGATTTCAGCTTTACCATAATCCTATCTTCAGACTTCAGCAGCAGAGACAGGACAGGGGATTCAGCCCCCCCCATTTCTAGCAATTCCTGTGTTTGCAAAGATGTGGGGGATGAGGGGGTGGGTTGGCTGGATGGATTTCTAGCCTGGCTACATACAGAAGTGAAGCAAACGTGCAGTCAGGCTGTCAGCTTTCTTCCTAATCACTTTAGGACTTGATCATATTGAAAGTGTGAGCTTTCCTGTGAGTTTCATGAAAAGATGAGATGCAATGACATGCTGTAGTCACATCCCTGTGGTAGCCTGAACTCATCCCATGGAATCCACCAGGAGAGGAGTCTGCATGCTCCTCAAATGCAGGAAGACTCAGTCTTATTCTTTATCAGGTCCCAAAGAGGTCAACTACAAGAAACCAGCTACAAATTTTTTCCAGAAAAAAAGTATTTTTACTCAGAATTTGTTGGGTTTCTGTGTGGCAGGGTCTGTTTGGCAAGCAGCTGGCTTTCTGCTTTTGCTGCATAGCCTGCACTTTTTATCTGGATCCATGAAGGTAGCTAAAAAAATCTGATTTGACTCTTCTGACTTTGCATATAGGGTATTTTGCCTCCAGTCACAGTGTATCATTTGAAATAACTATAGAAATTTATAGGTGATGTCAGATAGGAAAGTTTTATAGTAAATGTTAGTGCTTGTGTAATAAGATAGTTTCAAAGAGAGAAATATTCAAGACACACCACGTGGCAGAAATTCCACTGACTTCACCCGTCACTGTCAATGGCTTGGGGCAGAGAATCTTTCCAGCCTTGTGCCTGCAAATATTTCTCCTCTATTCTTCATGTCGCTGCAGTCAATGCGATAGTGGTGTATATCCTGATCCAGCTGGGGATTCAAGACTTTCCTATAACATAAATAAGGAATAATAGTAGAGTTCAGAGTGCACAAGCTTTTTCTAGGTCTTCATTTGAAAGAGGCAGTTTTGAAGTCTGCTAATTGCAACATTGTAATGGTAATTGTGGCATTTAAAATTCTTGCAATGGAATAGCAGATGATTATTTAAAATGTATTTAGTTTTGAGGCTATCCAAAGAAATGAAAGGTCTTCAGTTCTCTGATCACATTTGGTTACATATTTTAAATCCTTGAATACATAATCTGCTTATGATCTCAGTTTGATTTTCCTGGCAGATCACCCTCCGTGTGTGTGTGTATGTAATATACAGAGGCATTTGTGGTGAGAAAAAGAGAATTATTTCCTTTTTCTAAGCATGGGAAAACTTAAACTGTTAATGGAGTGTGTGTCATTACAAAGTATTCTCAGCACAGCCTTCCAGATTATGCCATTTTATTAAAAATAACACATTTGGGTATTCTTTTTATTTGTTTCCTAGTTTTGGAGCCATTGAGATAGATTTATTTGTATTTTCACACATTTCATTGCAACAGATAGAAGTCTGCTGACCTCCTTTCCCCACTCTCACAACTTTTTTAAAATGAAAATAGTGATATTTTGTTTTCATATGAATCCAGGAGACTCCGTAGAAAAACCCTGACAAAACCAACGAGTCTTGTGATTGAAATTATGCAAGTTGGCAACACCGGTGGAATGTTTTGTCCTTAAAGTTTTGAGTTAAAGCTATAAGCATGTGAAAACCACACTTATAATGGCAGCTGTCTGCAAACGTAATTATAGACAGTGCATCCAGGCAACATTATATATTAAAGGCATTTCATCCTGGTGAGCTGTAGAAGTATGAATTTTATGCTGTGCATCGAACACAATTATATTGCACATGGGAAGGTGATGAGCAAGTCTTTGCCAGTGAACCCCTTGAACCCAAATGAAGTGTTGGATTCTTGAATATGCATTTGCTTCAGATTTTGCCATGAACTTCCATTTGATAGTGTGTAATTTTTTTAATCAAAATTTAATTACAACCCAATTAAACACTTTTACTTCTCTTTAAATATGTGATGTATGATAAGAACCGGATTTACTTGAGTGCATGACTTTGCACATACTATTCAGTTAGTGCTGCCAAATCATTTCCCTCTGTTCTGTCTGTAACTCCCATTACTATCTGCCTTTGCCAAAATTAACTAACTGTGTGGTGTGAGCAGATGCTGAAAACATGAGCCATTGAATCAGGGTCATGCAGGAGACAGAAATTAATGTTCCCAGAAACCGAACGGTCACATTTCTCTCAGAAGAAAACAGCAGCATATTTACACCATACTGAGGACCAGCAATTGAAAATAAAACAACATGCATAAAAAAAATTCTTACGACTTTGGGGAATGTAGGGGCTACATTTAACTCTGCCTTGCAAATGCTCTGCAACAGATATCTTGAATTTTCTGTTACAAAGGACACCATAAAATATTGTGCTTCTGTTTCTGGGGCAAAATACAGGGAAGTTCAGACAGTTAAGAAAGGATGCTGAAGTGAGGTAAGGTACTTGCTCAGAAATAAAAAAGTAGGTTCAGTTCCCTGCTCTGCCTAGATTTTTTTTATGTGACATTGAGTGAGTGATTTAATCTTTCTTTTGTTACTAAGTTCTACATCTGTAAAATGGGGCTGCTGCTCGTTCTTTCTTTATGGCATTCGGTGCCTCTAATTTATGATGTGCACGTGAGTTGTAGCAATAGGGTCTTTGTAAGACCATAAACATTGATTTGTTTAGCTTCATGCTTAAAGGGAACTTCAATACTGTGAAGGAACTGCTTGGTGCCATCTTTAGCTCTTTAATGGCTTCCACATCAAAATTGTTCAGTTCAAAACTGAAAAAATGTTGTTTGCTGTTTTGCTTTTCTTCTCCTTTAAAGAAGTCTGGATTTTGACAGTTAGCCAATTGCTCTTTTCCCTGGAACTGGGAGTTCTCAGGCCAGATCCATCTATCTGCCTTGCTGTAAAGTGTGAAAAGAAGACCTGGATATGTAAACACGTACATGTACATGTAAAGGGGAAAGTTCTCATGTCTAGTGGTAATGCTTGCAAGCAGAGTAGGATGCCTTTCTTTCTAGCTCGCTGGGCTCTGCTGCCCTTGCATGCCTGCATGGCTGTAATCACTGGTGTGGCGCTCAGCACCCCCTTGGAATGAGTCTGGACGGAGTCGGGACCTGTTCTTATCAGCACAAGCAATTTCAGACTGATAATGGGCTGGTGATAACCTCACAAGAAATAAAAAATTTAATTATGCCCATAGGGAATCATCAAATATCTTCACTCATTGCATATTTTTACATTTATATAGTTTCAGGTTTTGAAGTTCTTCAAATTCTATCAAAATCTCAGTGAATTCAGTTCTGGATTTTTCTTTAACTTTTTTAAAAGCAGACTTAATGCCATTCTCATTTCCAAGAACACATTTACAATTACTTTGACCTGTACCTTTATGTCAGTGTGCAAGTATAATACAAAAATACCACAAAATACCACTGCGCAGTGTTAACTGTAAGTTGATCAGCACTTCCTTACTTCTCCAATAGCAAAAAACCAGAGCAGCTGGGTAGTGTTTTATGCAAAACTCTTGTCCTTTGACATGTGGGACCTTGGATCTAATCCCACTTTTTCGTCATCATAATGAAATTAATTTGGTGGTGTCAGCTGAGTTCATATTGCAAAACTAGCACATGAAAATCAGCAGCGCTCTTGGTTTCTTTATTCAGGAGAGCCTTGGAGCTTAGCTTGTCTAGAAACTGAAACCTTCCACCTCTAGACATTATGTCTCCTGCAGGTCATACATGAAGTGACTTAGGGAAGCAGTGTAGAGAAGTTGGTGTAGTGGCAGCCTGACACCTGCCAGCCTAGTAAATGTCTGGGGTATTCTTCTTCCCATCTCCCTTCACATTCATATATAATTTCTCTGGTTTCTATTTTGTGGATAATGAATAAATTTTGCCTTGTCTCCTAAGGTTATAAAAGATGTGTGCAGCAACTGTACAGGAGCGGTAGACTCCGATGGGCCGTTGTCTAGTTCTCCAGTTCACAAGACGGAGCTGGAAAAGGTAGTTATCAAAATGATGAATGCAGAATTCTGTGTGATTACTTATTACAGAGGCACTGCTAGACATTGTTTAGGGCATGTTCAGACCACAAACCTGAAACTGAATTTAGTTTCTGAATTTCATGTATTAACTGTTTCTGGGGCAATCTTCACTAACTCTTTGCTGACTCATGCTGGTTTAGGCTATTAGCCCCTGTGTCATATTTGCTTGCTGGATACGTGCACACATCTTACAGAATTAAGATTCTGCCATGTCTATTCATTTGGTGACGAACAACCAGCAGACTGGCTTGTATCCAGTCAGAGCTTCTCTTTAGCCATTTAGGGTGTAGACTAAGCAGGTCTGATATGTGTGCTGGGAAGCAGAGATGCTCTCCATCAAGTGCAAAGAAGGATGTGACCCTCAGGGAACAATAGCTGAAGATTATACAAAAGTTTTAAGGGAAAGTCTTTTATTTTTAAGGATTTAGTTCTTGAAGAGCTCCCCGGGCGTGCTGAGGTCACTGTTTTGGCAGACCCTTTCAAGCATTCATGCCTCAACACAGAAAATTGGCTATTCAGATGTGGTTGTCTCTGCTGCCCTGACTCAGCAGGACAGGAGAGCAAGAATTAGGAAGAACAACCCTGCAGTGAGTGATCAGTACATTGCCAGCACCGATTTAAGCCCCTGTTCTGTTAAGGTATCCATGTGAGCAGACCACTCTGCAGACCCGGCTTAAAAGTCCCACTGACAGAGGTTTCATCACCAAATTCCTGGTGGCAAGTTCTACCCACACAAAGGAAGGATGCTGCAGTCAGTACTGTTACGTTGCATTGCACCTGGGAGCAAAGCAAGTTCCATGACAGCTCAGACATCCTGATTTCACAAGGCCAAAGCTGTCGTGTGTGCATGCTTGCATTCTTCATGGCTTCACTACTCATGAGCAATGGGGTCATGAAAAGTTCTTTATCGCATCATCCTATATCTACTATGCAACCGTTACAGAATAATCAGTGCTGAAATTTATTTCACAGTCCTCTTTTTTTGGATATTGAAAGTACTGAAGCACCATGTAAGAATGCACTCTTAATTTAATATATATTGTGTAATAAAAAGTGCTGCATTATGATTATTTCACTGTTTTGAATGTACTTTCAAATATAGACCTATTTTGTAATTTCTGGGCTTTTCTAAAGCCTATATGGCAATGTAAAAAAACTTCTCTAAAATGGAATTTACTGTCTTCTGTTTATCTTCCAAGTGGATGAGAGCGTGAGATGTGTTTGATTTCACAGTATGCCTAATTTTAAATTGACTCATGACACTGTTTGGTGTAGGTTCCAACATTATATGTCAACTAATCTTTGTCCCTGCAGAAGTTGTCATCCGAGAGGCCAAGCTCAGATGGGGAGGGTGCTGTGGAAAATGGCATCACTACCGTGTGCAATGGGAAAGAACAAGGTACGTCTCAGATCCACAGATGCTTGATGTAATTAGTAAATGCATTTAAGGAGTGATTGGTAGTAAAATACCTGGCTTTTGTCTTTTAAAAATAGTAAAGTTTTTTGATATTTTTATTAGGATTCAATTTAACTTGAGAGCTGAATAAGGTCAAGAATGAATCCTTAAAATTTTGCTGAAACAGAAGGGATTTGATGCTGTAATTGTGCAGGTAAAATCAATATAAGTAGTGTAAGGAAACAGAAGTTTTGACTTGGACAGATTTTTAGGTCTTGGGCGACCACTATAGGCAATGAACAGTTGCTTTTAGTAACTGTAACTATAGTGGGTGTATAGCTTCTAAGCACAGAAGCTATCTTTGAATACTAGAAGGAAAGAATCATGAGAATTATATACGGATATGTATGTAGATGCACATATACACAGTTTGTATATGTGTGTGTATACACAGATACATAGCTATAGAAACTATTTTGTATGATCATTTATATTAACATACTAAAATATATATAATCATGTAATATCAGTGGTTTTGTCAGTATATATGTATATAATTTCACATGTGCTACTTTGGAGCCATGCATGTTTTGTAGTCCTTATAATCTAACAGAGGCACAACCCACAGCCAGAGGGAATTTTGTCCAAGTTGTATCTAAAAATCTCAACACCTATGCTCTCTTTCCCACTGCCTCTCTGCTTCCCAAAGTAGAAGAAACTCTGTGACTTTGTTAACTTGCCATATAGAAATGGTATCATTTAGATAAGACATGTTTCTGCAGCTGTCAAGCTGAAGGGTAATGTGAGCTGCAGGGAGCACAGTGTCAATACTGGCCTTGGTGCCAGTGCTGTCTGGCCTTTTGACTCACTTCCTTTATCTTCTCCCTGGGTCATTTTCTAACATATCCTGACTATACAGATCTCTGACATACCCAACAGTATAGAACAACATCAGATCTTGTAGTTTCTAGAAGTTGTGGTACATGGTTAAATTTTCACTCTATAAAATCTTCTACTAAGCTTTCAAAATGTGCACTGCTGTTTTAGCCTCTGAAACCTGCTGAGAAACATCCGTGACTCAAAAGCTGTGTTGTCCATGATGTCCAAAAGGGCCTGGTGGCTCAGGTGCCCCAAATGAAACGTTTGCTGCTGGAAAACCAGCCCAGCTGAGATGTCTCAAGGAGGGCAATTAAAGTCGCTAGTTGCTTTTGAAAATTGTGACCTTCAGTATGTAGTGATAAAAATCATGGGCAATGAGATTAAAATATCCCTACTATACTTTTAAGTGATTATAGATGAACTTACACTATTTTTTTAAACAATGGATAGGAAATGCTTAAGGGAGTACGTGGGAAGGGACACTCTGGAGAGCAGTCATCTCCAGCCATTACCCATCAGCCAGACTCTACCCCACTTAACCAGCTGCTTGTTTTGCTGTGGGAAAGGAAATTAGAAAAAAAGGCTTTTGTGACAAAAATCACTGGCAGTCAGGCAATTAACATATTCTTTAAACTCAAAAAGATTAAGTCAGGAAGGCCTTATTTCTGCTGCCTGTCTGTTCTGCAGGAAAGTGAAAGAGCAGTGTCAAGGAAAGAGAAAATGTTAAAACAAAAAAGCACTGAAACGGGCTTATTCCACTGTCTCTTCATGCTCTTGAGAATCGTGCCTTTGGGTTCTGTCCCAGAGAGAGTTTTTCTCAGTCTCTGGTGTTTTTCAATGCTTTTCACCTCCTCCCCACGCAACAGCCATAGCCTGTTGTCAGCTGCTGCTGCGTGAGACAGAAACCACTCTGCAGGCAGGTGCTGCCTCGAACATGGGAGCTTGTTGCCTGTTCAAAGAGCTCAGTATAAGGTCTTCCCTTAGGAAAAAGAGAAGTAACCCTTTGCTTGCAGATGCATATCACTGTATTGGAGTTGGCTGGTGAACAGCTATCCATGCCTGAAAAGCTGCCTTTCCCCTTCAGCACGCAGCTGGTGACAGATTTGTACAGTCTTGGCAACAGATACAATTTCTAAATAATGTTCCATGATTCCTAACAACTAAACTAAATATGATAAATTATGCCATTGTGAGCCCCAAACTGCTTCTCTGTTTTCTGTGCATTCTTCTGCCGGTTAATCAATTCATATAGTCATTTCTCATACGTACGCTTTGTCCCTTTTTTCCTCAGTTTACACAAGTCTATAACTACTAAATGTTCACTATTGCAAAGGGAATCGATGTGTCAGGGATAAAGTTACAGCAGCTCAATCAGTAACTATCCTAAATGTATTTTTCATCAAAATCATGTATCAGGGCAAGTTGAAGGATACTTTTGCTGCTCAGTCAGTTAGCAGAGAGACTTTTGCTCTGTTGATGGAATCCAAGTTAGGCCCCTGAATCCACAACTTCTCTGGGAAACCTGCTCCAGTGCCTCACCACCCTCGCTGGGAAGAACTTCTTCCTGATATCTAATCTAAACCCCCCCACTTTCAATTTAAACCCATTACCCCTTGTTCTGTCACTATAGGCCCTTGTAAAAAGTCCCCTTCCAGCTTCCATGTAGGCCCCCTTCAGGTACTGGCAGGAAAGTCAATGGAAGCATAGACTGGATGTTAGCAAAATACCTCCTTTCAGCAGAGCTTTTTCTTTCCATGGTCACAAAAAGTGCTAACTTCTAACCCTTGAATGCTTATACTGATCCCACTAATTTAAGTGTTAGTAGTTAATTTATAAGTCTTGTCTTTCTAAAAGGTCCATTGTGAGAAGATACCTTAACCTAATTGTACATGGCAGGAGTATTTTTGCTAGGCACGCATATTCTGTCTTTATCATGTCCTTAATTGTTGAAGTATTTTGAGGTAAATGTTTAGGAACAATAAAGGATCATCTGGCTGGATTTTTATTCTTGTGTATATGAGCTAAATTCATATGCAGGTACCTTAGTCATACTGATAAATTAGACTATGAGTTCTGTGGAAAGAGTCTTTCAGCTAGGTTAAATTAAATAAATTAGAAGCTTGATTTTTGTTTTTCTTATCCTTCTGAATACCATGATTTTATGGCACAGAAGTTATTTATAGGCATCTTCATTAGAGAGGGCGTATAATGTTTATCTCATTGCAGTCCGCAATGCCTGTACAAATGTTCATTTTGCAGAGCGTTGTTTGTCTGAACTACTGTTTCTATTCAAGATCTCTCTATTCAGCGGTTAAATTAAACACACTAAAATACACACTTTTGCTTTCTTAATAGTGAAAAGGAAAAAAAGTTCAAAATCAGAAGCCAAGGGAACTGTGACTAAAGTAACAGGGAAAAAAATAACGAAGATCATTGGTTTAGGAAAGAAAAAGCCATCAACAGATGAACAGACCTCATCAGCTGAAGAAGATGTTCCAACATGTGGTAAGTGATTTTCCTCCTTGAGTCTTAAGGACATTGCGACTAAAACTTTATAAAATTATAGCCTAGAAATTCCTCTAAAATTGCTTTTACTGCTATAATTCTTCCCCCAACAGCAGAAGGTTGCACACAGGCTGAAAGAGGAGTAAAGTAATGGAGAGCTTATAATTTTAAAAGAGACTAAAAAAACCTTGACTTTTTAAATAAAATGGTAGCACATGCTTGGAAGGAATATCATTGCTTTTTGCAAAGGTGAGGAGGAAGAGGAGTGTGGACAAAAAACCAGAAACGAGCTGTTTTCTAAAAAATGGATATAAAATTATTATAGGTTGGAATATGAAATAAATTTAGATTAGGAATTAGAAGAAGCTTCTTGGTAAGGGTTCAGTTTTTTTATGATGGATCATGGTGAGGTTTTATGGGATAGCAATCAAGACAGCAGTCAACTGCCAAAATGATTTGAGTTTAATTGTGGGTTCCTAAAGTGGTACATATTGGGCAAACCTTGAATGAAGTAACCAACTCCTAATGTTGATCACTCCATATGACAGCCGTAGGGCTTGGCAGCACCAAGGAAGCACATAAAAAGGCGTGCAGAAAATGCTTGTCTTTTGTATCTTAGCTGTTAATGTTTGCTCACAGTTTAGGACTTTATGCAATGCACTTAGATGATGTCCTCACAGCTCTGGTATTTTCAAATGTGATGCATTTCCCTGTTTGCCTTCTGGTGCTCCAGTATTAAGTAACTCTTCCATACATGAATAAAAAGTTGAATGCACCCTTCTCCCAATCCCTTAAAAAAAATTCCATAGAAAGCAAGCAGTGAAGCAGTTGCACTGGATTCTGAATTTGGATTTGCCTTTTCCCCTTTAATTGACAAGGAGAACTTTGGGAAACCCAGAAATCTGTGAGTAGGCAGCAGTTGGCAGAACTCATCGGAGCATGAAGTGGGATAGGTGCTTGCCCAGTGTGAAAGAAGCAGATCCATGGACCACCAGTGAGAACATCACAGATCACAGGTGGCTCTCAAGGCACACTTTGGGAATCATTCACATAAGCAGTCTCTGATTAAATAAGTGTGTGTCTATATTTCTATACATCAGCAAAGTACAGATGTGATTTATCAACCAAAAGAACAGCTGGGAAAAGCTGTGTCCAGCCAGATGCATTGTCTGAAGCATCTGGCTTCCATAAAAGCACAAACTTCCGGGGTCTCATACTCCATGACTATTCTGTATTATGTGGGACATTAACCACAGCTGTACAATTTAATTCCTAGTATTTCTATCGTTATTTCGGATGTGGACATAACTATAGCCATTATTGTTGCCTGCATTTGTCTCTACTCAACACCACTTGCAGATTTTATAGGAAAATATATAAGTGTCTAGGCTTTGGACATGGGAGGAAGTCTTTGCAGAAGGAGTTTCTCACCACCAGAAATTTGGCTCAGTGCAGTGTCCTCTGGGAGGTTGCTTCATAGTTGAAAGCTTTTACTCTTTAAAAGGCTCTACCTCCCATGAACAAAGGGAAAAACCCAGCGGGGCTGCAGGGGACACCCAGCTAGGGTGGGAACTAAAGCTCACCTGCACCCAATGTCATGGCAAAGCTCTTCCCTACAGCATCACGGGTCTTTGCCTGCCTGTGCTAAGCTGAAGTGCTAATCCCCCAACTGGGAACACGCTCAAGGCATTTTGGTTGTGTCAATTGTGGAAGTTTTAAGCAGGGATATGTGGGAGGAAAAGCATGGGATCCTGCTTAGTTCAAGTGAAGTAGGAGGGTTTGGAAGAGATTTTTTAGAGGTGCACTGGGAGCACAGGGAGAAAATATACTGTCTGAAAAAAAAAAGACTCAGTCCAAAACAAGCCAGCTGGCTTGCACGTGAAGGGTTTTTCATTTCTAGGGATTATATTATAACACACAGCTATACAAGGCTTTGTTACAGGAGGAGGGAGGAAAGCTGGAGAGTGTGATCATCACAAGCAGCCAAAATCAGAGAATTGTGCACATCCTCCTTTTTTTTATGACACCTTCCAAGATGTGTGCATTCCTGATCTGCTGTATCCTGTTGGATGAAGCTTTGACTTTGGAGCCATAATGTTGGAAGGGAAACCCAGAAAAATTAATGAGAAGTCATAGTTCTAATGAAAACCAAAGAGATCGCTATCCAACAGGATTAAATGAAAATCAGATCTGAGGTAGAAGACACTTTCTTTACATAAATTCTGCCCTGAGCGAGACAGCATTTATTTCCCTCTTCATAGCCTGTTTGGAAGCAGCAACATGCTGCATTCATGTACCGTTTGTAATGTGGAAGCAGAAAATATTTTTTTTTTTTATATTCCCAAACTAAATGAGGCAGCAAAACTGAGCATTGTCTTGATTTTAAAGTTTGATCCTGGAATGATTGTTACTATGGGCCAGAGAAGGAAAACCACAAAATACTACCCACTAATGATTATTACATACCTAGACACTGTATCCGATATACTGCATGATAAGAAAAATGCGTTTCTTTAAAAGGCAATTGGTTCATGCAATTTTCCTTTGTTGTAAGGGTGATGTCTTATCCCTGGAATCAAAAATCTTTGTTTAAAATTTTGTCTTAAAGTCTAGCTAAATTTCATATACAATTACTTCTGGAATTTTAAAACAATATGAATTTTATTTTTATTGGCATTGGTAGTGATCTTTGTTGCAAACCAAACGTGCACTCTTCTTTCTAAATGAAATATAACATCAACACTTGATAGGTCTTTAAAACACTGATTTTGGATGTTACAGAAGATACTTCATCACCTAATTATATAATACAGACTGTGGTTTCCCCAGGAAAGTTTGGTCAGCCATAGTTATCAAAGCCATTACACATAGAGAAGGTGGGTCTTCTGTGTGAGCACCGCAGCTGCCTGCGTGCCTTTTTATCACTGTGCCTCTCCAATTCCCACTGAAATCTTGGGGATTGATGTACTCCTGCTCATCCAGCTGCTGCAGTGACTAACAGAACAGCCATTTGCAAGTGAGTGGGATCACATCTTTAGATGCTTTTCTCTAGGTTATTGGCACAGTGAAAGTTTTCATTAAAAGAAGTGGGGCAGGGTCATTTACTTGTCTTCCTAAAATCCATCTCATCTTTATAATATAAAGAGGAATAAGTTGTTTAAGTACTAGCATTACATTGGAAAGTAAGGGGTTTGGTTGGTTTTTTCTTTTCAAAAGAAGTCAGGAGTAAAATATCTCACGTTTCATTTTATTGCAGGATATCTAAACGTGCTCTCAAATAACCGTTGGCGTGAGCGCTGGTGCAGAGTGAAAGATAATAAACTCATTTTCCACAAGGACAGGACAGATCTGAAGACACACATTGTTTCCATCCCTCTCCGTGGCTGCGAAGTCATCCCAGGACTGGATTCAAAGCATCCCCTGACCTTCCGCCTGCTCCGAAATGGGCAGGAGGTCGCTGTGCTTGAGGTGCAGTGATTGCTAAAGGCTATGATCTGTAGGAACACCCACAAGCTAAATTAGAGAAGCACTTTCATACAACCTGGCCATGCAAAAAAGTCTTTGGAATAATATTATTGCAGAGTTGGATAATAAGTACTGGAAAGAGAAAAAAAATGTTAAGAGTTGTAGGCAAATGAGAACTGAGATTTAATGCAGTTCAGAAATCTTCTCAGTAAGATGCTTTTCTCTACACTGACCTTCCCTTGAACTGCTACTAAAATATCCCTGCTCCTTCTCTATACACACTTTAACATCAGGGATGTAATTACTTTGGGTGAGTAACTTAGCAATAATTAATGGATTGCTGTTGATGGGATCTCTAGAGTTCTTAACTCTTATTTGTCTGCTATTGATGTGAGCCACTTTTACTCAGTCTGTGTCCGTATTCAGGCAATTCTGCAGTAAGAAAATAGTGAGCCAGCATCCTGGTGAGTGTCTCGACACACCACACGTGTACGCACTGGCACACGCCTCGCACTATGGAGGTCGTAGTTTCATCTGTGTTAGGTGGGTCAGGATTTTTTGGAGGGCTTTATTCATCATATTTTGAAAACTGAAATAAGACACTTAAAACCAAGTCTGATGAAGACATAGGAGGAAGGCAACCATTTGTTTTCAGTGGCAGGATGGACACTGACCACTTTGGATTTCCAACTGCAAGTCACGTTGGTCTCCTGTCCTTGCAACCAGGCCTGTTATATGTGAGCAATTCAGAGAAACTGAAAAACTGGAAAGTGGCTCAAGGAACTGTGAGACACTTAAAAACAATAAGAAATTTTGAAAGTGTACAGTTTCGTCCTCCACCTCCACCCTTTTTTTTTCCCCTCCATTTTTTATTTTGCTACTGTTAACTTTGTAACTGGTGACTTGAAGCAAAATTTGAAAGACTGAAAATTATTTTAACAGTATTCATGTTTGTACTTGTGCCATTGAACGCCATCAGCTAGACAAATGTATTGGAATTTTTCAAAAAACAACACTAAAATTTCTTCTACTATTTCATTTTTTCCCTTTGTTTCCACTTAGGGCTAAGATTTTCTTCTTAGGAGTATCCTAACTAAAATCCCCAGCCTGGCATAGGAAAAGAATCAGAGCTTTCTATTTTCTGAAGTATTAAATAAGCATGAATTGAATCTAAATCCACAAGTCTCAAACGATGATTTTTTCTTCTTTCTTGGAGATTGCCCACTTTGTATTACATCATAACTGATGAGCACATAGCTTACTTAAAGTGCACTCCTTCTAGCGAAGCAGACTTAGTAAGAAATCCTGGGGTTTTTAGGAGTTCAGCAGAGAGAAACCAGAGCCTCTCATACAATGTGGTAGCAATTTGTCAGCCCAGAAGAATGTGCCATTTGGAAATAAAGCTCAGCTCAGTAGCAGACTAAAGACCTGACGTACGCCTTTGCCTTCTCCTCGCAGGCATCCTCCTCTGAAGACATGGGCAGATGGATAGGAATTCTGCTGGCTGAAACGGGGTCTTCGACAGACCCTGGAGCTCTGCACTATGACTACATCGACGTGGAAATGACGGCAAGCGTCATCCAGGCTGCCAAACAGACGTTCTGGTGAGAGGTGTTCAGCTATCCGGGTGTTCCCAGTGCTGTGAGAATTTATATCTGTATGTTAACCCCCCCGCCAGCCTTTGCCAGATACTGAACTCCTGAAGTGTTTCAGCATCACAGCATGTTAGTTGTGTTTATGATTATTGTGTTGGCATCCTGCTAAGTTCCGTAAAAGATGCAGACACCATTCAAGTTTACTCAGATCTTTACTTATTTTTTCAGTGTCTCCTTATCAAATGCTATATTTTAATATTTTATTTTGCCTGAAGACTTAGAAGTATCCTTGGAAGAGAAAAAATATGCTGAAAATCAAATAAATATGCAACTATGTCGTTTGCATTTATCTTTTGGCTGTATTTGCCATACATATAGCCAATATATTAGCCAATATATGCTGTACACTAAAAGGGCACAGAAAATTTAAGTCTTGGATAGCCACATTCTTAGTGCTTCCTCCTCAAGTTTTTTTTTTCATTAATTAAAAATTTCATCAAGCTCACACCAGTCCAATTAATTTCTGGGGTTTAATTTCGGAGGTGGAAGTTGGTAAGATGTCTAGGGCACAGCACAGCACGGAAACTCTGTTTAAATTGCAAATCAGTAGCGTGAATTCCCCATCACCCATCCTGTGCGATGAATGCGATGCATGCTTAGCATATATAGTGATACACATGCATGCTTAGCATATATAGTGATACACATGTCCAAAATTGATTCAGGCATTACAGCAGCCTTTGGAGAGATGAGACGGTCATTTTTCCTTGGCTGGATGAGGTTGTTTAGAAATGGGAGTGAGGGACCAGTTGAGCCAGGCGGGATGCCGTGCTACAGAGGTACCCGGTGTTTTCCCAGGGTCAGAAAGCGGGTGGCCTGGGAAGACAGCTGGGAAAGACATCATCCCTCACCTCGCTGCAAAATGAGGCTACCCACCCGAATTTGGAATTCGTGTGACAATATATTAGGGAATCACACCCCATCTTCCCATCATAACTTTGAACAGACTGAAATTTCTTTTAAAAAAAGAGAAAACCTTCAGAGTTTTCCAAAAGAAGACTCTCCTGCCATTAGAGAAGTGTTAAAAGAGGTTTAATGAGGAAAAGGGGGCAGCTTCATTCAGGATCTGGTTTGAATGACTTCTGATAGAAATCAGTGACTCAGTGTTACCACAAGACCAGCTTTGTGGAAACCAGGTAATTTTGATAGAATCAAAATGCACTTAGCTTACAGACTTATGTTAATACTTGTTTTGAAGTTAATAGGGCTAAAAGGTTTATGCTGTGTTGACATGTATTTTTGCTTCAGTCAGCATCTAGCAATAACCACATTTAAGAAAGAAATAGAATGGAAACCTTTTCCCCCTGAATACTGCTTGGCTTTCCTTTTCTGAACAAATGTGATATTAATTGGAGACAAGTGAAAAAACATATGCAACCAGACCACGTGTTAGAAAGGAATGTCAAGCAACTTGCAAACTAGCAGAATTCCTCTATTAAGAATTAATTAAAATTCATTGGGTGTCTTTAAAAGACTGTAAGAGCTTGTCGATAAGCAACTAGAATAGCTGTCTGCTGATTTTCAGCTGCTCTTAGAAAATGAAGAGAAATTACAATGACACTTAAGTGTTAATAAAATACTCTTGCTGCCCTTTATAGAATGAATATCAGTATTCCAAATTAACTGCATTTATCATTAAAGCTTTGATTATTGCAGTCAGTTCAGGATTACTGGTTATTGGTTTCCTGAGACATGCTTTGCAAAATGATCAGCACCTCATTCATAGTCCCATCAATTTTCTGCATCTAAGTCAGTATGTATCTATGAAATGCTGAATAAAAAATGCTTCCAAGCAGGTTTTTTCCATTTGTTGTCCAATCTAGCAGTTTCAAAATACAATTAACTTACATGGGTGCATCTGTAAACAGGATTAATGAGGCTTAGTGCAATAATGCTTATGAAGTGCTTGCAGCTACTTACATAAACCTTAGCTTCCTTTGTGGTGGATATAGTTTCTACAGGTGCATCAGATGTCATTAATGAATATCCCAGTTTTCAGGCATGGTTGTTATGCATCACCCTACTTAAATAGAAAGAAATACAATAGTGGCTCCATATGCAGTCCTTTAGACTAAGCAGAAACACTTGAGTAGTGTTCATTAAGAGAAACAGGAAACAAATGCAGCCCTTTAATAATGTCTAATAAAGTATGAGATAGGAAGAAATTAAAAATATTTTCATCATGGAATTTATCTTGGGCTTTTTGTTGTTTGTTTGTTTGAAGTTAGAAAATCTTCAGTCTAATGATTATTCCACCCCTGCCCTGCCCTGAAAGGCTCACACCGAACTGGGCAGGTTCATCCCTCCTGTGAGCCCGGGACTCCTGGGGCTCAGGTGAGCCACAGTCGGATGAGGTCTGTCTCTCTGTGAATGAGAAATTCAATGGACTCCATGTTACCCCAAAGCCAAAAGAAAGCAACCGTTGAAACCACAGAATTCTTGAGCTCCAGCCAGTGCTATAGAAGACCCTCTTTGCTGTAATAGGGCCTTATCATATTTTATGAATGTCAGCACGGGGTCTGAATAGTTCCATTGTTTGGGATGGAAAGCTTTGTTTTTCCATTAACTTACACCTAAAGCTATAGAAATTATTTGGGATCTCACTCTATATATTTCAGTGGTTGCTACAAAGGAAAACTCACTCTTGGGGTCATCATTGCTATGGGGCCTGATTCTAACATTTTCTGCAATGTAGATGTTGTCCAACAAGCCTTGTGTTGGGAGCAATCTTGCACGTGTTCTGCAGAATTCCAGTAAAACAAGCTGCAATGTTGATTTTGGGGAGAGGGGAGAAAACAAACAAGCAAGCATGTACATATATGTAACACCATATATAAGTAACAAGTAATAGGATGGGAGGAAATGGCCTCAAGTTGCACCAGGGGAGGTTTGAATTGGATATTAGGAAAAATTTCTTCCTCAGAAGCATTGGAACGGGCTGGCCAGGGAAGTGGTTGAGTCACCATCCCTGGAGGTATTTAGAAGACATGTAGGTGTGATACTCAGGGACATGGTTTAGTGAGGGACTTGGCAGTGTTAGGTTTACAGTTGTACTCAATGATCTTAAAGGTCTTTTGCAACCTAAATGATTCTAAGATTCTGTGATTATATATACATATGTATACATATATATATATATATCCCTTTTTGAAGTGTCCAGGGGGCTCAGATCCATGTGAAACAGAGCAAGATGAGTCTGTAGAGCATTTGCATGCACAATTACCCAGCCAGAGAGTTGGGAAGCATCGTGCCATTGCGCACACTCTATCCAGCCAGAAGTTCTGATTTGGAAATGATAAAAAATTCCCAGATTTTAAGGAAGAAAATAGTCAGCAAATTTTGACAGATATGTGAACTTAGATTTTGTAGAAGTTCTACCTTTTTTACAATTTTTTTTTCTGGATTTGATTCTTGTTTATCCCAGTCCCTACGTTCACATCCCCCCTGAACATGCATGCACCCAGAAGCACCTGCTTCTCCCCAATGCAGACAACAAGGGAACTTTTATCGGACACTGGCAAGCTGGTTTATAACACAGACCAGCAGGTTCCCATGTAAACATGCCACTGAGCAGTTACAGCTGTTGCCCTCCTGGCTTTCACACAGTTCTATCTCCACTGTAACAGCAGAGTACAGAAACATATGTTGTAATATTGGCTGCTAGCAGCAACATGTGAGTAGCAAAAGAAGGAAAACTGTCCTCAGCTTTCCTGCAGAATGTGAGAAGATATGTGCTTCCAGGCTACATAATCAGATACAGGGAACATACCATGAAATCATCAATTAGACTTAGGTTCAAGCACTGTTTTTTATTATTTTTATTTTGCCTTCTTCAGCTTTATGAACAGGCGAGTTATATCTACAAATCCGTATCGGGGAAGCACTGCCAATGGCTACGCCTGTCCGAGTGGAATGGCACTTCATTACGATGATGTTCCCTGCATAAATGGATCGGTAAGAATTGAATTTGCACAGAACAAATGGTTTGCATGTGTTGAATGCATGGACATCTGAAAATTATATTATCTAAAAAGCCCTGCTGGGCAGTTTCCAAATGAACTCCTATTTTTTTTGATTGGAGGCTGCAAACTTCTCTCACACCTACAGAGTATTAGGGGTGCAGGACATACTGTTTACATTAACCTGCACGTGAGCCAATGTGCATTTAGAAAGCAATTGCCTGTTGAAGATTTGTTGCCAAGACCTTGAATATAATACTCACTTGAGGGGGTATTTTTTAGATCACACCAGACCTGGCAAAATTAAGGAGTCAGTTACATCAGGCACTTTTTGGTGTCTGTGAAAAAAAACCAAAAACCAACAACAAAACCCAAACACGCAATCCCTGGGGCCACATGCCTAATGACAGCAGGTACTGCTCACCCCGAAGGGGAAGCACAGTGGTCACTTGCATCTTTATAATCTGCAGATCTGATTGTAGGTAGGTGTATAATAGGACTTAACGCACAGTGGATGTTAACCCATAGAAGGATGTGGTCCTCAGGAAGATTTACAGCGGAACTGCAGCCTGTGTCAGCTCTTAATTTGGGTTGCTATATAAAGGCCCCCACTAAGGCTGAATGCAAGACAAATTCAGAGTTTTAAAGTGTTAAGTGGACTGCAAGTTCAGTCCTCCATCGTGTCTTAGTAATGTCAGAAAGATGGTAGAAAACCCCTCTTGGGAACACCACACGACCATATGTGTGGTGAGGAGTCTGAATGTGTAGTTCTTGGACGTGCTCAGTCCTTTGTATAAGCATACTGCCACAGCCAGGATGGATTAAGGAGGGATATTTGGCAAGCAGGTTGGTTTCTTTTAAGATTCATTGAATGAATCACTGGAGCATTGTTGTTAAGCTTTCCATTTTTCTGAAAAGAAAAAAAAAAAAATGGCCTGTAGCTATTTTAGCTGGTTAGCTCAGAATAATAATTCTTCAGCAAATAGAATGCAATACTAGCATACCAGCAGCTGGTATTCACTGAAAAGACCTATAGCCTGAAGAAAACAAAACAAAACAAAACAAAAACCCCAAAACTGTTAGGCCATATTACTTTTAACAACTCATGTACCAGATGTAATCCCACAGAATCATCTGTGTAGCCTGTATTGCCCTGTTAACACAGTCTGCTTGTGCCCCCTCAGTGCTAGAGCTAACAACTGAAGTTGCAGTCTGTGAAACAGTAAAGGTGGCAGGGTAATATGGAAAATGCAAAGGACTGAAGCTATAAGCCGTGTAATGCAATGCTTCCTTTCCACCCTGTGTCCTCCCCCTGCTTTCCAAATAGTTTGATTCAAGCGTGAGCAGTACGCATGTGCTTGCTGAACACTGAGAGCTTGCTGTGGCCAAAAGCAGTGCTAATGTTTTAATTTCGCTTAGGAGGTTCTGCATGGTGTATGGTTTACTAACTGCCAAAGTGTATGTGTTGCAGTGGGAACCAGAAGATGGCTTTCCTTCTCGTAGCAGGAACATTGGAGAAGAAATGCTTTATGATAACGCAGGCCTGTACGATAACTTGCCGTCTCCAAAAATCTTTGCGCGCTATCCGCCAGCTGACAGAAAACCCAATAGGTCATCTACTGACAAACTCTCCTCTAACCATTACAAATACCCTGTCTCATCCAATCTGTCTTCTGCTCAGTCTGTCACTAATACCTCTGCTGTGGGGAGGGGATCTGGCACGCAGGTACTGTACTGTTTAATACTTAACAAAGCTTTTTATTTTTTGCTTGTTCTGTTTATCTGGTTGTATCTGGAGGGCTTTGGGCTATTTATTGTTAACACTTATCCCTTATTGTTACCACTGAAGTGCTTGGAGTTTAGTCATGAGCCCACTGCAAATGAAATAGGTTTGCTAAGATGTAAATTCTGATGTGGAAGTATTGGCACCTGGGCAGGGCTTTCCCCATAAGCTCTGGATGATTTACAGGTTGTGGATAACAACAGAAAAATAGATGTGACCTTCCACACTTAACCTGAATGCATATGTAGCTGCCTTCTTTCTCCTCAGTCAGTGATGACTTCAAAAAAAGGAAGTGAAATATGACCTGGCTGTGACAGCAAATTTGCCTCTATAATTTGACTAAGCTACATATTACATATTATATGGCCATATATATTGTGAATACACATATATATCATAACATATATACATACTACTTGATAATTGTGTATACTGTGTGTACCGTATTTATATTACTGCCTGTTGTTTTCTTCGCCTGAAAAAAACCTAAACCTATGTCTATGCTGCTATGTGAGGGTGGCCTCAGGCTTCTGGACCTCAGCTGAGCTGCAGAGCTACAGAGCAGAGGAAGCCCTGTGTGCTCAGCCTCAGTAGCAGACAGGCAGACCCCAGCAGCAGGGCAGAGCAAGCCTTGCTCACAACCACGCCAGGGACCTCCTCTAGAGCCCCTAGCCAGTCTCCAAAAGCTGGTCATTGGCATAAGCCTGTGAATGTATAGCAAAGATGGGTGGTTTTCAATCTAACGTGATGTGGAAAAGTTAGATAAGTGTTTCCCTTGTGTAAGGTACCTGTCATATTGCGTGTGAACTCACTTAACCCCTAAGAAAACTTAATATTGGAATATTAGAATTCAGTGAAGTTGCAGAATTGGAGGTGGACCCGAGCAATAAATTGTCTTGATCCTTGGCTGCAGCAGCAGGCTTCTCGTTGCACTCCCAGTTCAGTCCTCAAAAGCTTTTGGAAGCAGGTGACCAGAGCATGGCACACCTATGCCCTGTGCTCAGCTAAGGCATCCCCTATGGAAACACTATGATTTGTCAGGACAGTGTGGCTCTTCCCAGGGTTCAGTTCATTGCAGGGCAGCCAGCTAAGTGGAAACCTCTTGGACATGAGACGTGTTGTTCCTGTTACTCTTGTGAGCTTGCCTGAACATTATTGAGAGGTTGCCTTTTTTTTAAGTAAGAAAAGATTTTTAATTAGTAGCTAGAGGTTGTATAAGAGGAAATTGATATGTTAACTCCTACACATTAAAAATAAGCAGTAATTATACTCTTTTGAAAAACAAAATAAATCTCTGCACCACAAGGATGGCATGGTTGTAGAGTAAATAAGAAACAGTGTTGAGTTTTTGTGTGGCAAACCCAGGTGGGTTTTTCTGCATGAAATGAACTCTGACTACCTGTGTTTCAAGAATCTTAACGGCATAAAGTTATTCAAAGGTACAACTTTTCTGCCTTGCAATGGCTTTCTTAATATAGTAAATGCCAGAGTTTTAAATAACTTGGAGACCGTGATGCCACCAGAGATGGGGAGTTTGTCTCCTTGTTATCCTGTGTGGCTCCCGTTGAGCAGGCAGCCCTCAGAGATGACATGTCCGGAGGAAGTGCTGTCTCCAGATCAATCAATGTGTTCTCCAAGCAGGAGGCTTTTTGTCAAGCTTTGCCCTTGATGAAAGGGCGACTGTAATGCCAATGGCACAGGAATAGCTGGAACCCATTTGTACTTTTGTTTTCAAACAGTTTAAAGGCAAGAAGCCTCCTGCGACTGCTAATGGGATCACTGGGAAAGGGAGAACTTTAAATAGCCAGCCGAAGAAATCTGAATCTGTGTCATGTGTGAAGCGCACAGCGTCCAGTAAGTATTTCTCCTCACTGCTGCCTGTCTTGTGAATGGAGTCATGAGGATACCCAAAATAGCTCTCTTAGCAAACAAGATAAAGACCCACTGTGGTTCTTTGGTGGCTGAGCAGCTGAGAGGGAGATGCTCACCAAGACTTTGAATAGGAGATATTGTGTGCATTGGTGACTCATGAGTACTCCAGCCATGTCACGGGACAAAAGGTTGTCTTACGCAGAACAAGAAATATGTAGAGATGTAGACCCGTGGTTGCAAAATCGTGAGGGCAGCAGGAGAAAAAAAAAAACCAACAGGGTAATGATTCTTCATTTGGAGCAGAGACTAATTCTGTATTCCTGTTGGAAGAGGCATATGAGAAGCCAAGAAAGATGTAATAACACTGTATAGGTCAAAAGTGGAAGCACTCTTATCACTAATGAAAAAAGAGGTAAAACAGAATGATGAAGACAGCCACACAGCTCCAAAACTTCCTCAGAGAGAGGAGATTTCAACTGGTGAGTGGCACATTCAGAAAGAGGGTTCTCCTGGGAAGGTGAATTGCCTCTAGGAAATCCGTAACGGGGATTCCTTTACTTAAAGAAGACAAGAGAAAAAAAACTATAATCATATTTTTAAAATATGGATTCAGAAATACAGCTTCTGCTTCTTCATGTGTGGTTTTAATCCCATTATAAATTTTTAGGAAGTCATGGATTTAATGGCAGCAAGAGAAATTTGGGTTAGACTTCAGGGGAAAAAGTATGTATCTTCCTAACCATGCAGGTCAATTTGTAGTAGCATAGACAGCTGTGGGAGTAAAGGCATCTCTGTTACTAAAGACTGACTAAAACTGGTTTGACAACTGTTTGTCAGGAATAGTTTAGTTGACATTACGTTCAGATATGTAGACAAAGTGATCTGTTAGCTGACCTATTTTCTTTGAGTCTGCAACTGGAACAGAGGTATAAAAGGAGCTGTGATATAAATTAGACCACAGATACATGTGAGCCATGAAATGAAAGCATTTATATGGAAAATTTAGAAAAGAAAAAGAAAGCTCTCATGATCAAAAAAGTGAGAACATCTTTGTATTCTCTTGTATCAGGTGAGAAAAGACATGTGCTTTAAGCACTTGAAGTAGGAATGGAAACCAGGCAAAAGGGCAAACAGACAGTTCTTCCTCTGACCCCTTTCAATTAAAAATCAAGGGTTCAGAGCTAAAGAAGTCTCCTTTCCTTCCTCTGAACTACACAGAAAGGCAAGGCCATTTTTCAAAACCAGTGTACTGTAAGGTAACTGGTATGTCTCATCTTCCCTGTATAAATCAACCTTGAGAAAAATCCAGTGGAAGAGGGATGGCAAACCAGTTTCCCAAACCGTGACATGCTTCCTGTGATGACCAGTCTCAGGCATTAGCTTGGAGTTTCAAGTTAAAATTAACCATAAGTAACTACAATACAATACAGATGCGGAGCAGTACAAATACGGCAAGAATCGTGTGGAGGCAGATGCAAAGAGGTTACAAAGCAAAGAAGAGGACCTGCTGAAGAGGAAAGAAGCGCTCCGGAATAGGCTGGCCCAGCTCCGAAAGGAAAGAAAAGATTTGCGTGCTGCCATTGAAGTCAATGCTGGTATGAGGTGCTTTTTTTACTGGATTCTGCCCTGGGTAGGCTTAATTATCCAAGTAGCTGTGTGTTCTGTGCTGAAGACATGCCACTACGTGAGGTTTGGTTTTGATGTTCAACAGTACACTGTAATGTCTATATTTGCCTTCTATATAGATATGAAATATATAGGTGTATATATTTATTTTATAGACATACTCGATATATGTGTATGTGTGCACACCTATGAAATGACACAGATGTGGACTTCAGACAAGCAGAACATGGGAATGATTTTATTGTGACTGGCTACTTATATATTCATGACATGGAAAAATAACAAAACAAATACTGATTTGAAACTAGACTAGAAACCTAGGGAAGGCACCTGAAAGAAAGCATTTGACTTCTGTTGCTAAATGTTTGACATGAAAAAGTGTTTTTTGTAAAGTACATAACTTTTTTGTGATGTCACTGATTTTCTAGAGACCTTGTTACTTACATTTACTAAAAGAAAATTATTTCTGTAAGTGTCAATTTAAGCTTCTTATTGAAATAACATTGCTGTGGATGACAGGCAGGAAAACCCAAGTGATTCTTGAAGACAAGTTAAAGAAGTTGGAAGAGGAGTGTAAGCAGAAGGAGGCTGAGCGTGTAAACCTGGAGCTAGAACTGACCGAGGTGAAGGAGAGCCTTAAGAAAGCCTTGGCTGGTGGCATCACACTGGGCTTGGCTATTGAGCCCAAGTCAGGAACGTCAAGCCCACAGGTATAAAAAGTCATTAAACACACAAATACCAATACCAGGGGCTGGGAGTGTTCTGCTTTCTCAGCTCCAGTAAAATGAGTGGGAACTGGGAGTTTTTGAAAGTTTTATTAAGCCGAAGAAATAAGAACTGTGTTACTTGCAGTCTTCCCCTACATCTGGTGTGCTTTCTACAGCAACAGGGAGCAGGTAGACGTGGGAATCACAGCAGTATGTGTTGGGCTAATGTGCAAAAGCTGACACCTTACTGTCCTCAGTGATTGTACAAGTGAATGAACTGAGACGTTGCTCCATCCCAGTGAGAGTTAAATGCACCAGGTATTTGTGCAGTGACGGAGACCTGCTGGTGCCAGTCCCCTATCCGTCACTGTCACCCTTTGCAAGGGCTGCATCTCACTCATTCACAATGGAGCGTGGCAGTCCTGGCTTATGCTGTAGACCTGTGTCAGAAGCCGACATCACAAGGGTCTTGGAGGGATGTGACAATTCCTGTGGATGACCCAACGTTGTTTAATTACCGAAAACAAACAGTTTTCATCATAGAACACAACTTCATTTTGCTTTCTTTTGTTGTAACCTGTTTTTCATTTATTCATCATTATTATGAATATGGTTTCTTTAAAAAAAAAAAAGTATATGCAGTTCCAAGTCTAGATAGAAAACATTGTCCATGTGACACCTTGGAGGCAACTCAGTGTTGGCTTTTCACTCTTCATTAGTCTCCAATTTTCAAGCACCGAACTTTGGAAAACTCGCCAATCTCCAGTTGTGATACCAGTGATACGGAATGCTCAATACCTGTGAACAGTGCAGCAGCTCTGAAGCGACCTCCATCGTCAAATAATTCTCCATGTCGAGGCCATGTCCTTCGAAAAGCAAAGGTGAGCTTGTTTTCTTTTTCTGTCCTTTTTCTTTCTTAAAGAATTGTATTTACTTGTGGAGAGAGAGAGAGAAGGAGAGAGGGAAAGATTGGTTTCTGCTGTATCTGTGGGTGAAATTTAGTATTAGGAAGAGAATATGCCATATCTGAATTATTTGTATTACTATATAAATACTGCTGATTCTGGGGAACCTTTTGCAGAACAATTGGTAAGGATTTTAGAGACAGATTTGACTCTCTCATTCCCTGTTTCTCTCTGTTCCTTTATAGATTTAATTTGTAAGGTAAGTGGTCTGTAGTATAGACAGTCCATCTAAAATGCATCAAGTTCCACTAATTGGTGTAGCAGAATAGGGGTTAAGAGAGCACTGTTATAGTAAGTGTTCTGAAACCACCTAAGATCAGGTCTTATCTTTGCCAGCAGCTGCAAGAAAAGAATAGTTCCACATTATAATAATCAACAAGGTGTTGTTCAAGTATCGAGTCTTAATGTATATTTAAAGCAGCAATTGAATTAATTTAAATTTAGTCTCACAAATACCAGGCTGAAGGTTGAGGACCTCCTGTATTGTTAAGAGTTTTCTCATTTTGTGCTTTAGTTAAAATGAGATTTTTATGACCATTGTTTTGGGCTAAATACGCTAGCAACATAAGCATGTGGGCAGCACATAACCAAAGGTGACAGTGACAGCATTGGCCCAAGCTTTTATTGATGAAGTAGGGTTCATCGCTATTTTAATTATAAACAATATGTTGTCTTCATTGATTATATACATTTACAGTGGCTGAATGTGAACTTAGCACCTAAATGTGGTAGATTCTGAAAGATTATCATCTCAACAAATAATATGGTTTTCTGGCACATCCTAATCTCTCTGTTTCCTCCTCCCCAGCCCCTTTAACCTCTCTAGGGTGCCCAGGCCATAATTTACTTCTCCCACTGTACCTTATGTGAGAGTTTTCTCACCCTTCTTCTCACACCATTTCCTCCATCCTTTTCATGGACATCAACTGCTTTTTCTTACAGGTAGCCCGATTCGTTTAAATTCAACTAAGAATAATTAAACTCAGTGTAATAGGTTTCAGTTCTATTTAACTTTTAAGTTTGCTGCTGGTGTTTCAGACCTGAAGAAGGATTCATGTGCTCTAAAGCTCACCTGTGTATTGCAATTATACTCTAATTTGTTTCATAAAGATACCATCTCTAACTATACACTTCATCTTAGATTTGCCTGTTAGCACAGCGTTACTCAAGGAATGTGGTCTAGAACTAGAGCACAGGCCTTGGGGAAGGGAGCGTGGATTTGTGCCGCACGCTGGACAGGCACGTTAAAGCCAGCCATTTAATGTTTACAGCTGGACAAACCACGGCGCTATAAAACTCTAAACATTTTTGGTGTAAAGAACACCTTCCAGCTGCAATACATTCTTTATGCTCAGTATATACCAAACAGGAATATCCCTGCTGGGGTGTTTGGTAGCGCTGTGCTTTGGGTGGCACAATAGGTTGGTCATGCTCTTCTGTAGAGGAATCCTGGATGTAAGATTAGGCTAATCAGAAAGGATATGGAGCTACTGAGCATATTTCCTATCCTGGGAAGAACAACTCAAAGTATCCAATTCAGCTTTAACAGCTTTTTCCTAAAACCTCATGCGCTAAACATCAAGAGTGAAATTTTGCTGAATTAGCTAGTGCAACCCAAGCTGTACTGAGCCTGTTGGCAAGGCCCTGCAGCCAAAGCCTGCCATCAGGTACGCACCCGCAGCACACCCCGCTTGCAGGGGGAGTTCACCGTACATGTGCGAGGGTGGAATTTGGCTCTCAATTCTTTTGGCCTTTTGCAGTTATGCATGAGCCCAGGCCTTAAGGATGTGGCTAAAGAGAGGGCGTCACACGCGAGTATCTCAGAGCAGAGCTTACTTGGCTCTCCATGCATGGATATCAGTGCAGTACGTGGGCGTGAAACAGATTGGACGTCCGTGCTAACGCTTGCATCTTCGGCGCCTGGCAAATCTCCGAACGTTGCAAGGGAGTTAGTTGTATAAGCATTCAAAATTTCAGATTTTTTCTCCACTATGTATTTGAATGCACTGAACGCCTCCCTTCTGGCTCTTTCCTTGCATGAGGGACACTGAGCCTGTCACCCGCCAGCCTTGTGCTTGCAGCCACCCTCACGTCACCGTCACGCTCATCAGCCGGCAGCGCGGCACTGGTTTGTGTCAGCAGGTTTGGAGGCTGCTCCACCAAAATCTCTCTCCTCTCAGATGCACTGACACGCAAGGGAAATACAGAGAGAAGCAAGAGGACAGGCTCAGGGTTAAGTCTAAGAAGCCACAGCAGTTTGGGGATTGGCTGTTTAGCACACACCCTGTACACAGACACATACATGCATACAAATATTTGGAGTTTTTAACTTTTCTGTTTGCAGCATGCTTCTAATTCTTTTAGAAAGTAATAATGCATATTTTTAAGAAGTCAGAAAACTTTTTGATTGTAATATTGTTAATCTCTACTTGGCTGGAAATGGAGACTGAATTAAAATGTGGAAAACAATATTCTGCATCAGCATTCCCAGAGAAGTAAAATACTCCAAATATCCTTGCTGCACAAGAAAAACAATTATTTAACTGTTTCACATTTCAAATGAATTTTTAAAACCAAACTGTTATGTGTAATCAGGAAAGTTCAGTGATTATTTCTGGTCTGTTTCAAAACTGGTGGGCTGGTGAATGTCAGCAGCTTACATTTTGCTTATGTTCAGGGACTGGAGAAGAAAACGAGCTCTCCCATTTCCCCAGCCCCCAGTCAGGCGGTCAGTGTTGGCTTAAACTTTCTTTCATTGGCATGGACCTGGCCGAGAGATGGAAAAAAAGAAGTTCCTTCTGCACCTGCAAAAGAAGCTACTGCTTTCAAGGCTTATTTAACTTAGAAAAATTCTCCTCCCAGTTGCTTAGCCAATGACTTCCTTTAGAGCTTTGGCAGCATATACACAGAAAAACTACATTTAATATCCTTTTTAAAGTAATTTAATTTTTACCGATACTGTGTTTTAAGTTTAGGTTTACCATAATTCAAAATGTAAACCTGAATATTTAAAATATATTGTATTTTAATAATAGTACCATTTCAATGAAGAACAAAAAATCCCCACAAGATTAAACAAATAACAAATGTCTACCTGCTGCAAACCCAAGATTTATTTTTTTTATTACATTGCTAAAGCAGCCACTAGCTGTGACCTTTACTGTCAGTTTACAGTGGTTGAAGAGGTGTCATGGTCATGCAGCTGTTGAGCCAAACAAATGCTGTGGCTGCTCTCAGCAGCAGAAACAGATATTTACGTGGATAAGTAACGGGTTTCAGTCAGAGCTCTTAAATGCGGAATGAGTGTTATATTCAGGAATTCAGGTTGGGAGCCAAGTCAGCAGGCTGCCTGCAGAGTACCTCTGCAGAGTGGTTGGGTGGGAGAGGGAGAGGAATCTGTGGACCCCAGGGCCTGGCTAGGAATGCTGGGCGGTTGCTCCATGGTGATTACTTCAGCGGGAGGCCAACTCCTTTGTATCTTCTGATGGCTGCAAGGCTTTGATTCAGGGAGTAGGTACAGTGTGGATGTCCTAGGGTGAGCCCATCCCTCTTCAACTCTTCTGCTTCTCAAAGCCAGAGCCAGAAGTTGGATTTTACTGGCTTAGCAATACGAATCTCATGATTTTCACTTACGAGGCCAAAGAAATGGCAGTACCTTGCCCTGAGATACATGGATGAAAACATTATAGATTATGTGCTTTGCAGTTGACTGCAGGTGTCACTGTCAGCTAACAGGTGGGGAAACTGAGGCTCAAAAAGGCAAAGTGGTTTCTTTAACTTTCCAAGAAATAGCTCAATGTGGATTATGTATACAGGAAAGAAATGCAATGTAAACTAACTTGTTTTTTCTTTGCCCTGCTTGTAAGTCTCTCTACAGCAGTAAGTTGCCCTTTTTCACCCTAGAAACGTGTGTCTGCCCTGAGTTTAATAATAAAAAATTGAAGAGTAGCAAAGCAATCACTTGATGTCAGCTATGAGAGAAGTATCTATGAGTGCTTCCTGCTGTCTGATGCAAGTTAGAAAGCTCAGTCAGCCTCTCCCTTGTTCATCTCCAGCCGAGTGCTTTAGGCCAACTGCAGTGTGCGAATCCGCTCCCCAAGTACCCTTTGCAGAAAACAAACACGGCTTCTTTGCACTGCACTAGGGAAAAACTTGCAATATGTAGCTGCGGAGGGGTAGAAGCTGCACACAGGCGCTATCAGGACATACTTGTTACCATTCCCTAACTGATTTGTGGGCAGAAGGCTGGATCCAGTGAACTTGATGGCAAAACAGTTACTGACCTCAGTTGACACTGGCTTTGCAGATCTGATGACATCAGTGAAATACCCTGATTTCTCGAACATTTTCCGGATCTTTATTTTTTTTTCCCCCCCTTCCAGGAATGGGAGATGAAAAATGGAACATAAATATAGCAAAACCACTCACTTTCCATAAAGGCCTTACCTGTTACGGACCAAGACGTAGGCTGCAAAAGACTCATCTGAAAGGCGGTATCAAGCGATACAACATGAGAGGTTTTTTAATTCTGTTAATGGTAGCTTGGCGCTAATTTGCCTGTATTCCCTCTACTGTATTGCTGTGTAACTACGTGTGCCCCTTTTTGTTAGCTGTAACTCTTTATTTCCACCTCCACTGGTAAAGAAATTGAAACCCCAAACCAACCATCGTACGTGAAAAGGAGCATCAAGTCGCAGTCGAAAGCGTGCTCTGCTGGAACAGTGCAGACCGGCCGCGTTGGTCACCCCGCACCAGATGGCCTGAACACCGCTGACGTCTGGTGCGTCCCGACGGCTGGGAAAGCATTATGGGTGAGAAGTACTCTTACAGGTTAAAACTGACCTTGGGAGGTCTGCCGCAGGGGAGGCGGAGTGAAGTCTTGCTCATTAGCAGTCGCCTGGCTGTTAGCGCTTCACGTGGCAAAAGAAAACGGCAGAAGACGGCTTGCAGGCCGGGAAGACGGGAGCTCTGCAGGGCCGCTGTCCTCTACGCTGCTGTGAGACCGTGTGATGACACGACTCGGCTGTGAAGCACTTTTACTGTTTAGACAGATGCTTTTGTCATTGAGAGATAAAAAGCTGCCATACTTTAGGGGAAAAAAAAAAAAAAAGGCATTTTAGTACATTCTCTTTGTTAGTATTCCACCAGAAAAACACCACCAGTTGTTTTCGAAGGTCATGTTGTCGAACTATGATTTGTTCCTGATTTTTTTAAAAGGTAAAGGGTATTTTTAGATACTGCTTCTTTTCTATACTTTTAGAAAAAAAGACAATGTAATTGATATTAATCCTCAACAGATAATGGCAACTCAGAATAGCTTATGCAGTCAGTCTTGTTTTGTTTTTTATAATATAGTATTGTTAAACTTGAGTTACAGAACACTGCTGTACTTATGTTTCCTTTGTCTTTTCAGACCTCAGCTATTATTTGTGAGGAAGATGGATTGAAAAGATGCTAGGTCCAGGCTCTCTTATAAAAATTGGGGATTTTTCTCAGACAAGAGTCCATTTCTGTGTACTGGGAAACGGCATCTTGCATTGTAGTCTGTAAAATTATAGAAATCTGTTCTTCTTTGTCTCCATGTCACTCCTGAGAACTGACATACAGTAAACTGCCAACTAAAGTTCTTGAAAATCTCATGATTGGCTTTAAAAATTCAGGAGAGAGGGGAAAAAAAAACCATATAATGACTTGGGTTATTTTAATTTTTTCTCTCTGGGTTTTTTTTAGGCCTTTGGAGAGCCTTCAATCACATTCTCAAGATTTTTTTTTTTCTCTCTTCAACTGTGAGGACTAGGAATTTAATTTAAAAAATTAAAATACTACTCATAATTTGAGATAATCACAGATGTTAGGGCTGGAGTCTTGATAATTAGTTAAGATCTGCAATTAAAACCACAGACGTTGGCAAGAGAGCAGTTATCAAGGATCACACCCCTTTGTGTCCCAGCCTGCAGTCTGTCTCTTACCTTTAGGAATAGGTGTATATAACTCTTGAAGGGTAGACTGGGATTCCCAGCTGGATGCCAGAGGACTTCCTGCAGGAGCTGGTGGGATTGGAAGGCACAGAGCTGTCACAAAGACCTGACAGCTGATTAGACACAGGTCCTGTCCCCACATGCAATTCGTGTCAGAGATCCCATTGACCTCAGCAGAGTAGAAATGGGGCCCAAAATGAGAAAAGGCTCTTTGCTGCTTGGGACTATGCTTTGTACAAAGTGCT